AAATCAGCCGAAGTCATCATTGAATTTCATGGAAATGGATTGAACATCTCCCAAACATAGATTTATCGCATTTTGAACGAACATTTGGGCTTACGAAAGGTGTGTTGCACGGTTTGTTCCGCACAAATTGACCGACGACCAAAAATCGATCGACGCTTGCGACCGATTATTTGACGAAAAATCATATTTAAACCATTAACCACTCGCCGTATTCACCTGATATGACACCTTGCGACTTCTTCCTTTTCGGAAAAATGCATTTGCCCCTGAAAGGAAAGCGTTATGCAGACGTAGAGGCCATTCAAAAGGTTTGCAGCGGCATGTTGGCGGCCATACCGGCCAACGAGCTAAAACACTCGTTCGATATGCTTTTGGACCGTGCAAAAAGCTGTATTGAAGCAGAAGGAGACTATTTTAAATAAAAAAAAACATTTTTTGTTTTTGTAACGCAACTTGTATATCTACCAAGCGTAGCTGAGAGTGTACACGAAGACCGTGATGAATCGATTCGGCCCCGTAGGGAACTTCTTTTTTACTGTCGTAGATACCGCTGTATGTCAAAATCTTAACGTGAAAGCTTACAAAATATTAGTCAAGAACTGAAACCGGTCGACCTTCCCAAACGACATCGCTCCGCTCTATGGACTCTTGAAAAGTTCCTAGAAGGTCCGACATTTTCCAGCCAAATTTTAGTCAACGATATGGCTCATTTCTGGCTCAATGGGTATTTAAACAAGCAAAATTGCCACATTTGGGACGAAGAGCAACCTGAAAAATTTCAAGAGCTATCACTTCATACAGAAACAAGTAAGGAAGAGCTAAGTTCGGGTGCCACCGAACATTTTATACTCTCGCATGATAAAGTGATAATCGAGATTTCCGGCGTGGTTGTGAACCGATTTCACCCATATTTGTTACATGTCATCAGGGTGTTAAGAAAATATTATACACCGAATTTCATTGAAATCGGTCGAGTACTTCCTGAGATACAGTTTTATTCCATAAGTGGGCGACGCCACGAACATTTTCAATTTTTAAAAAAAGCCTGGACGTTTTTTGTTAGTCGGTTAACGCACTTTTAGTGGTTTTCAACTTAACCTTTGTATGGAAGGTGGGCGTGGTTATTATCCGATTTCTTCCATTTTTCAACTGTATATGGAAATGCCTAAAAGAAACGACTCTATACAGTTTGGTTGACATAGCTATAGTAGGTTTCAAAATATGTACAAAAAAGTTAGTAGGGGGCGGCGCTACGCCCACTTTTCCAAAAAAATTGCGTCTAAATATGCCCCTCCCTAATGCGATCCTTTGTGCCAAATTTCATTTTAATATCTTTATTTATGGCTTAGTTATGGCACTTTATAGGTTTTCGGTTTCCGCCATTTTGTGGGCGTGGAAGTGGGCCGATTTTGCCCATCTTCGAACTTAACCTTCTTATGGAGCCAAGAAATATGTGTACCCAGTTTCATCATGATATCTCAATTTTTACTCAAGTTACAGCTTGCACGGACGGACGGACAGACGGACAGACGGACGGACATCCGGATTTCAACTCTACTCGTCACCCTGATTGGTATATATAACCCTATATCTAACTCTTTTAGTTTTAGGACTTACAAAAAACCGTTATGTGAACAAAACTATAATACTCTCTTTAGCAACTTTGTTGCGAGAGTATAAAAACAATGGTTTGGAGTAGTGTGAGAACGAAATCGTCAATGGCGAACGTTGTCGCGCCATGATAACCGACTATTTGATGCCTAAAATTGAAGAGCGTGATCTCGCCGGCATTTAGTTTCAACAAGACAGCGCCACTCCCCACACATTGCAAAAATCAATGGATTTATTGAGAGAATACTTCGGTAAGCAGATAATTCACGTTTTGAGCCAGTCGAATTGGATGGAAAAGATAAAGATAAAGAGATAATTTTCGAAAACTAAATGTTAAAAAGTATTCTTTCGAATGATAATAAATATGACCCATTAATTAAAAAATAAAAATGATAGTCCTATGGTACAAGGTCAGGGCTATATGATGCATGCTTCAAAACTTTCCCAACCAAGCTCTCCCACTCTTTGCCGAGTCAACAAAGAAGTGTGTGGTTTAGCGTTATCCTGATGGAAGACGAAGCCCTTTCTGTTGATCAATACTGGTCGTTTTGTTTTTCATTTGCTTGCTTCAATCTCATCATTTGTTGACAGTAAAATGCAGAATCAATCGTTGGACCAGGCTGGAGCAGCTCATAGTGGATGATTATTTTCCAATCCCACCAAACATAACATTTCAAGGTCCATTAAATTTTTCACAGACAAGCCACGTGGTAGCCAAAGCAAATATCGAGCTTCTTTTTGTAGCCAGCCTTTTTTAAATGGTTCCAAACCGTTTGGTGATGAATGCTAAGTTCCTTAGCGATGTCATGGGGGGTTATGTGACGGTCCTGGTTAATATTTCCAACGATACGTCGACCAGACCAATGAAATTTTAAATTCAAAATATAGGGAATTACTTTATTATTTTCTCTCCTTTTTGAACAGCTGTAACTTTTACAATATTTAATTAAGGTCTATAATTAAAAATTTTGAATTCATATTCATACATTACTACTATTATTGCCGCACAAAATTCAGTTACAAATATCTTTAACATCTCCAATTACAAGTAAATTTAATTAGAAATTCGTGCAAGTATAGACAAATTTCATTGCTTATTCTCATTCATAAATATTTATATAAATAAAATGATAAAATCCATCAAAATTACTGCAATTAATTTATCAAGTAATGGGGTTTAATCGAAGATAACATCCATATCACTGCTTTGATCCTGTACCCTGCATCACACTTTTCCCACAGACATATTTTATTTGTTTATAAGAAGACTTACATATGTACTTATTAACAGCAAATATACATACATAAGTAATACATACATTATTATGTATTCAAAATTTATATTATATAGAAAATTGTGAACATATAACAAGTATAACTTAATACAAACTAAACCAGTTTTAAAATGATATTATATTTGATCAAATGGATTTATACGATTATATGGTAATGATATGTTAACATAATCAGAATGCAACGCACAGTGTTTTAGAAAATAGTGAAAGTGTAGTAAATATTAAAGAACAACAAATTGTAGTAATAAATTAAACAACTGTTTTAATGTTGTCCATGTTAATTATCACACTGTTTCCAGTCAAGAAAGCAAAGAAACCGCAAGTTGCACAAGCAATGAGCTGAGTGAGGAAATCATAAAACGAACAACAAAAAATCCCACGGTTTTGACCGGATTACAGCCGCGGTTCTAAAACAGCTTTAAAATCATAGAACAAGAAACCATAATTCCATTGCAACAATTTGGGCTTTATTAACCATTCTACGGTTGATAATATCTATAGAATTACCAAAATTATTGAAAACGCCTTTGAGGAAAATAAATCTGTTCAATCGTTTTTTGGATTGTTTGTCACAAAGGACTGCTTCCGAAATTGAAACTGATTTTACCGAAGCAGCATTATAATATCATAAAATCATATTTATCAGGTCGCTTCTTCCCCGTTAAACAAGCAGACAATTATTCTCTCCTTAGGGAAATAAAAGCAGAAGTTAGACAAGGTTGTGTGTAATTAGTGAATTGATAACAAATCAGTGTTATCCATCGAAAATAAGTTACATATCTACAAACAAATACTCCGACCGATATAGAACTATGGTGCACAATTCTGGGGATGTATTAACGCAAGTAATAAGAAAATTATCCGAAAATTACAAAACAAAATACTAAGACCAATCGTCAAAGCACATTGGCATAGGCGTAAAAACCTCAAGCCCAGCGATCTTTCAAATTAGCCGATACTCTCAGAGTAGTTTTGTAACTTTGCAGTAACTAAACGATTAAATCATATTCAAGCTGCTTGACAGTCTATCTTTTGCCTGAACTGTAACTACATAGTTGCCATGTAATAATAAATAAAACATTTTTTTTAATGTTGTCCCACAAATGGAGAGTCCGAACTTTCAGCTCCCAATGAATGGCTGATGGATTGTAATAATATTCGAACTCAGCGGTGATGGCCGTTTTTACGCCAAAAGCATTACGTCATAAACACAAATTCAATACCCTTGCTGTGGCAGTGCCACATAATATAAGAATTCAAAGCCCGCATTTGATTCTGATGCAGAAAGAACAAAGAATCACCATTGCGTCCTATATTACTTCTTTTATACAGTTACAAATTAATGAAAGGTCGCGACCTACTATAACCGTAAAAATCCATCGCAGGTTAGATAGATAACATTGAGGAGAACGTTCGAACACTATATTAACAGTAATTTCCTTGAGAACCTATTGTGCTATCAAGTGAAATTTCAACAGTAAAGATGGCCCTTATCGAATTAGTCAATTTTTTCTTTCCTGAGTTTAGAATCCATCAGATATGTCTGCTTCTATTGTTTTTTTTATATCGATATAGTATGTGTTATGAGAATTGCTTGGCATCATGAGATTTCAGCTTTATGAAAGTAGATCAACCTCCAACAATCGGAAAATTTCATGCTGAAACTAATAAGACTAGCATTGCTTTTTTAAGACCCCACAAAGTAAATTTTTTTTATTTTTTGAAAAAAAAAAAGAAATAAGTTCAAAATTAGGTGGAACGTGATGAATACGTATACAAAGATTTCAAAAAAACTGGTAGTGAAATGGAATCCACCGCGCCAAAGCAGCCACTTCAACCAGCATTGAACTTAAAATGCAATACAATATGCTCGAGTTATGCTGCTGCTTTATGCAGCTTGCGACAATATTATCTTCCGCATCGGCTGCATTTGCTATGCTCAATCGTAAATACAAAGCGAGCTCATCAATTGTTGTTGCTAATTATTGTTTGCGAGAGAAAATTCATCATTGTAATTGACATGATTGAACGAGTGCGCTGAATCACTAAGAACAGCGCTTCAATTAACGCGCTATAAAAGTGCCATCGGGCTGGCATAGTGGCATCAAAGTGTCACTTTTCGTCTTCACTGCAAGTACAACGCAACGTTTTAAGCGCAAACATGTTCAACTTCTACAAATTGGTAAGGATAACGCTTATACCTACTTACAATAGACTTAATTAATTATTTTCGTCTTATACTTTGTCTTATACTTTGCACAGTTTGTGGTATTCGCTGCGCTGCTGAGCTTCACTGCCGCAAAGCCAGGCATCCTGGGACCCATCCTTGTCTCGCCATCCGCCATCTCGCATCAGAGTGTCACTCAAGTGCATGCCACTCACCCGGTACTCGTTGCCACACCCATCGTCACCGCGGTACATCCAATTGTAACTCCCATCCTTCATCATCCTGAGCATATTGTTATTGGTTAAAATGTTGTTGTCGTGACAAACAACAGTTAACATTGACCGCCATTTTGCGACCGCGTTTGGACTATTCTACAAAGTGATTACTCAGCACCACAATGCCATACGTGATCAGCACCTATTTTCACACACAGCCACAATTGCACTTTCTTAGCCACACATAAGTACAGTCATATTCTTAGAACTAAGTACACATACATATTTATGTGTGTTTGTTATTTGAAATGCACTGAATTGCTTTCTTTCGATCTTGCGCTCGTTGCATTGCAGTGCATTTCTTTGTGAACATTTTTCATTTTAAAACTTCTCTTTACTTTATTTTTGAGTTCTATTGCAATCAACAGACACTTAGTTACAATATAGAGCTATATACCCTTTCAATAAAACCCAAAGCAATTAAAAATATTAAGAAGTTTTTTATTTTGTTCCTTTTGTCTAGCGTTTTTCGTGTTTCTTTCAGCCAAGTTTGGAAGAGTCATCTTTACTTGTCACCAAGTCTGTAAGAATAGATTATAGACGTTGTGGCTTCATAGATAGATAAGAAATTTATTGTTTTGGAACCTTTTTATACATTGTTCAATTCCCCGCCTTTCATATTTATATTGTCAATTTACTAAAGCTCGATCGTATGATTTATGATCAGAAACGAAAGGCAACCATCCATTATACTAATCATAATAATGATACTCAAATAATTAATGATCATTATTCAACACCTTGTAGTGACCAACGTTTCTGCTTCACATACTTTCAGCAATATTTTTATAGCGATCTTGATCCTAAAGCCTAAAAGTATGCACACCGATCTACCGATCATACCCAACCGTATCTGAATGAAAAATAAAACCGTCTGTGTTTGGTTTATCAATGCTGACAGTGTATCTGTGCGCTATTAATAAAAGGAAGCAAACTGATTTTAAAATACATTGCATGACGGTTTGCAGTGCAGCGTAATTCATTTCGAAATTGTCTACTTTTATATATTATACGAAATACCATTCTTTGGCATTTACATTTTGAAGATTATCTCTTTGAAATGTTGGCTGCGGCTACGTCTCGGAAGGTCCATATTCCAAAGACTCGTTCGAACATTTCGACTGGTAACTGGCGAATGACACTTTCGGATGTTTTGCTGCAATGTCTGCATCTAAATGCTACTGTCCGCATAGACTTTCACTTCATATATCGCCACAGTAGGAAGTCAAACGGTGGGATATCACACTATCGACTCTTCACGGTCATCGTGTGCGCTCTTAGCTATGGCTGCTATATTTTCTTCACTACGTGCTACATGTGGTCTATTCGGTCGATATTATCCAATAACGAATGCTGGGTCTGAAGATGGCTAATGGTGGAGCAAATAGTAGGCTCAGTGGGCCGATAATGTTGACCATAAAGTGAGTGAAGCGCTCGAAACACATTATTTGCAGAACATGAATTTTCGTAATAAAGTTTAATGATTTCTAAACGTTCTTTAAAGTACGTCTTTCCATCATGAAAAACGAAACTATAGTGAACAAAAATGTCAGCTTGACACGACTCAGGCGTGATCTGTCAAAAACAGACTATTGAAAAAGTACGTCTCCTTGGACCAATCACAAAATAAAATATATATATTTTTTTTAATTGCCAATTATTATTGCCAAAATTCAAATACGTCCAGATACCGATGGGTATAGGAAATACGAAAGTCACTGAAAATGATAAACAAAACAATTTCCGAAAAGAGCTGATAGGTCAGAACATAAGTAACGACGGCATAAGTAGTGACGACACAGGCAGATTGTGCCGAGAAGTAAACATGACAGAGATGCTGGAACACAGCCAATGCCTCTGTCTAGCACTATTTAGAACTTAAATATCTAAGAAATTCATGGTTCAAAGGACCAGAAAAAATATCAAATTTAGAGATCAGTTCGCCTTTAAACTTCGTTAAAGGCGTTGACATAATATATGACGAATACTTCACCTCAAATTTATCAAAACCTCCATCTGGCTTTAGTAAGGACCAGTAGGTTTCCTCCGCGATAATGGCGAAAGCGTAAGCCGGTGCAGAGTCATAAATGAAGAAAACAATTTTCTACTAATTTTATCATGACCAATATTTCAATATTACTCACGTTCCACGTAAACCAACTTTTCACCGTCGCCATCCGAGAAGCTGTGTCACTGTATACGGTATCTAAACACTATTTAATTTCCCTGCTCGATTTATTTTTGGGAAACAGAAATCGGATCACAGGCAATATTGCTCGCACGTCTTTGCATGCGGTCAAAGCTATGAGTCCCATTATTGGATAATATTCGACAGAATAGATCACGTCCATCACCCAGTGAAGAAAATAAAGCAGCCATAACTGAGAGAGTGCATGAAGACCGTGGAGAGCTGACGTATCGAACGACTTGGCAAAATGCGCCATGCCTTGATCTTAAATCTTCCGAGATCTTAAAACACCTTCCCAAGCGACATCGTTTCCCCCTATGGGTTTCAAAAATATCCGAAGTTTTCGAGCCAAACGCAAAATTTACGCATTTGGAGCGAAGAGCAACCTGAAGAGATTCAAGAGCTGTCATTTTGTACAGAAAAAACGACGGTTTGGTGTAGTTTGTGGGCCGGTGCAATCATCGGTCCATATTTCTTTTAACATGATACCGGTGAGAACATAACCGTGAATTCTGACCGTTATCAAGCCATAATAATCGACTATTTGATGCCTGAAATTGAAGCTCGTGATCTCGGCGACATTTCGTTTCGACAAGACGGTACTACTTCAGACATAGTTATTGAGAAAACACTTCGGTGAGCAGATAATTTCCCGGTTTGAGCCAGACGGTTGGCAACCAAGATCGTGTGATATCACAACGTTAAACTTTTTTCTGTGAGGTTATGTAAAGTCTAAAGTCTACGCGGAGAATCACGCTTCGATTCAGAACTTGAAACAAAATATTACGGGGTTGGTTCTATAAGGAGCCTAATACATTCGGACAGAAGAGAATATTACCAAAGAATATTTGGTTATTATAACAGAATTATACAAAAGTCGCACCTTAAATAAATAAAAAAGACACCTTGACTTACGTTTTTATTTTTTTCATTCACGAATTTTGGACAAAGAAAAGTCACCAGGCTTTAGTAGCCCATTTCATGAACCAGTCGTTTGGGTCAGCCTATTTATATCTATTCTTTTAGCTGCAATGCGCCCTTAAATGACCTTATATAATATTATAGCCCGCCATGCATTCTTGCTCCAATCACCATCTAATGCAAAGTGGTCAAGGCTTTCTCTTATATGCAAATCATAAATATACCACTTTAATATACAGTTTCTATGTTATTACCAACCAGAAAATACAACATTGTACCAAATTGACCGCACCCTTTTTCTTAGATTATATTTCTAACAAGTGATGCCAGCAGACATTTAACAGTTTGATTTATCTGAGGCAAAGATATTTAAGTGAAAAAAAGAGTTACGATGTTATGGTAGATGGTAGATGGCTGAACCCTTTGTGAAGTCAAATAAAACAACTCCCACCCATGCTGCAGCTTTAGAGACTGAAGTACCTGTTCTAGCAAGCTCATCAGCTTTACAGTTTCCTACAATATCGCTGTGACCAGGCAACCAAACCAGTATGGTCCTAAAGTATCTTGATTTTCAACGAATAAATCGATATTTAAAATCAATGATGTACGGAGGGACAAAAAATGTACCTTAAGCTTCCCAATAATGGTTTCATAAGTTAAGAATTGAAAACTGAAGGGAGGAAAGAAGTTCTCAAATGAAATACATACATATATAGAAACAATATAGAAAAAGTATATGTAAAAAAATTTCAAAAGAGCTGTTTCTATTCAACGACAGGATCTAAAAATATCTACTTAGAGAACAGTAACTGAGCCTAAAATTTTATGAAAATTGTTTCAGTTTATATCACTTTTTTTTATTTTAATTTTCGTAAAATATTCGGCATTTAGTGTACCAGTCCGAAATGTTCTAATGATGGAGAGTGTAAGCAAGTGGAGCCGAAACAATGCTCTTGACGACAGGAGCAGAGTGAACCACAGGCAGAGAGTGGACRACTGGAGCGCTGTGTACAAGAGGAGCGGCGTGAACTACGGGAGMAGCATGAACTACGGGAGCAGCATGGACTACGGGAGCGGCATGAACTACTGGAACGACGGGTGCGGAGTGTACGGTTGTCTTGACAGCGTGGGCGAGTACTGGACTCACAACAGCTTTGCTATGGACCTGAGTAATGCTCTGGTGGGAAACGGCTGAAGGAGCACTGTGAACCACTGAGCCGACCTTAGCCAAGACTGGCTCATGAACTACATGGTGGGTCTCGATGAGTCCAGCGCTGACGGTGGCCACAGCGAATACGCAAACGAGGGCGAACTATAAAAGGGTTTAAAAAGTTTTTTAAAAATATTTTAATTTTTCGTATTTATTTTTTAGCTTACGTATTTGAACATTTTGGAGTTTTCGAGTTTGGCTGATTAGTTGAGCTTGGAAATWGTGGTGTGTGACTGATGTTGAATGCCGTTTTGGTGTTAACTTTTATACCAAAATGTTAGGAAATGAGCTAAATGAGGAACAAGTAAATGGAGTAATGAAAAAACATCATTAAAGTAGCTTCGGTTGGGTCAGCGTGCGTGTGTGTGTGCGTGTATTTGTTCTCAACACAATGACGCGGCACAACAGCTGATAGTGAATTCAAAAAACTCATTCATCAAAGGCGTTAACCCATTTAAGCATTATAAATATTACCGCCGCTAAGCGCAAGCTACCAGCTGAATGTCTTTCTGCTGCTGCCGCTTGTAGTCATGACTACTCTGTGCGTGTGTGTGTGTTGAAAATATTTTGTTTTGCATTAACCGACTTCTAGTTGACGCGTAAATTCCTGCAACCAAAGAAGTACGCAAAACATAGTGAAGTAATGAGCTTACTTGACTGAGTCTCCCTTGGCTATAAGCGATCATCAGAAAAATATTTCAACTAAATTGCTCATTGCCGTAAGACGCATCGTATAAAAGCAGGGCAGTTAGCCACTATCAGCATCAGAAGTATTTCGTAGACTTACAAACAAACAACTCCCGAACCGCAACAAAAATGTTCAAGCTCGTAAGTTATTATACTTCTTTAAATATTTATTTTTTTTTATTTTATTAATTTATAACACTTTCCTGCACAGAACGCCATTCTCGCTGCTGTCTGCCTTTTCGCCGTTGCTACATCCGTCAGCGCCGGGCTCCTCGAGACCCACCATGTAGTGCATGAGCCAGTGTTGACTAAGGTCGGCTCGGTTGTCCACAGTGCTCCTTCAGCCGTTTCCCACCAGAGCATCACTCAGGTCCATAGCAAAGCTGTTGTGAGTCCAGTACTCGCCCACGCTGTCAAGACAACCGTACACTCCGCACCCGTCGTTCCAGTAGTTCATGCCGCTCCCGTAGTCCATGCTGCTCCCGTAGTTCATGCTKCTCCCGTAGTTCACGCCGCTCCTCTTGTACACAGCGCTCCAGTYGTCCACTCTCTGCCTGTGGTTCACTCTGCTCCTGTCGTCAAGAGCATTGTTTCGGCTCCACTTGCTTACACTCTCCATCATTAGAACATTTCGGACTGGTACACTAATTGTCGAATATTTTACGAAAACGCAAATAGAATAAAGTTGTGATATAAATTTAAAACTTGCTTATTTATTTGAAACTTAAAATTACTTCAAAAGATTATGTATGGATATTAAAAATACCGAAGTTATATGTGCAGTGGTTAAATTAAGTCCAAAGATTCGAATAGTATCCTTTCCTACTCAGCCTCACATTCTCCTTCAATTACATAGGATCGGATTTACCCATCAAGCCAAAAACAAAAAAAAATTTTTATGCAATAGAACTTCCTTATATTGAACACCTCCTTCTAATGAATGAATTTCGAAACCCCAGCTCTTTCAACCTACTTTCGGTGTATTTTAGCCCCCTTATAATGGATTTCTATATAGTAAAGTTTTCTATATAGTGAAAATACATATTTTATGGATGGAAATGCAAGACTCATAAGTATAATATCCATTTAGTGAATTAAAATTTGTTTTCTTTTACACTCAGTTATATGTAATTACGTGTTCCCAGAAAAAGATAAAGTATAATAAAAAGATTCCCAAAATTAAATTAGAAACTTCAGCTTTTGGGAATGTATTCAGTGACTGAAGTTAAATTAAAACACTAAAACAGTATTTTACTTGAAGAAAAGTTGTGGATTATTACAAAGTAAAAGAAAGGAAGACAAAATAAGAGTTCGTTTTAGAATTCTTCCTTGCACTTATTTTAAAAAGCAGTGTACAACGGGCAAAATTGGTTGGGGAAAATTCTGTTATGGTCGTAGAAGTCAACGTTGATAATAGTTCGAAATCCTAAGACAGCCCTTCCGATGAAGATATCCTGAGCAACTTACTAGATAGTCAATTATTAGAAGAAATATTCCTCTTATGAAGGATGCCTTAGATGTTATATTTTAATATACTCTCGCAACATGTTGCAACAGAGAGTATAATAGTTTTGTTCACCTAGCGTTTGTTTGTATCACCTAAAACTAATCGTGATAGAATGAGAGCCCTAAGGAATTGTGCGCTGGGTTTGGGATCTGCCTGGTAGAAACCACTTCCAATAGAAAAGACACAACAGCCTTGGAATAAAGTCACCGCTTTTTATGATGACCACAGCTTCATACATGTATCATACATTTTTTCGAACTTCTGGTTGGTTTTCATTTAAGAAATTTAAAGGATTATATTTCTTCTAACATATAATCCTCTTACCTAAAATAAATGAAGTCAGGGCAATGCTTTCCCTTATATCTATTATTCGAATTGTCAAATATTCGCCTGACTTTAACCTTATACATAGGTAAATCTGCAATGTTTTTTAATTTGTGTATTACGAGAATATAAAATGTTCAGCTACATCCGAATTGTGCCCTTTCTTTCCTTTTCCTTCCACAAGCTTTATGATAACTTTCTTTCTATGGTTATATTATTAATAAACTGAACAGGGTATATCAAGTTTGTCAAAAGGTCTGACATATCCAGGAAGAAACTTCAGAGACCGTACAGCATAAATATATATGTACAGGGTTTTCCAATAAGAGTGATATGAGTGATTTCTTAAAAAACAATAGACATTAATTGTTAAGTAAATTCAAATCTTCTTTATTGAATGTGAAATACAATCGATACAATTAAGTTCTGAATATAACATCATACAAATAGCCTCCACGACTTCCTTTGCAAGAACGAATCCGATGAATCGAGTATTCAAGTATTTTTCCAATAGGTTAAGTCGTGTGTCATGAATAAAATGTTCAATATTACCTTTACACTTGAAGAGAGTCTGTTTTATTGCCAAAGATTAATACTTCAAATAAGTAGTCTAATGGTGTCTAATCACAATTTCTTGAAATAATCGAACCTCTAAACTTTTCTCGCAATAAATCAATTGTTGGACGTACTGTGTGGTACAAAGCCCAATTTTTTTGGTACCTGGTGTTGGCAAGATCAACTTCTCCCAACTGCGCCCATAAAAAGTTGGTTATAATTGATATACCGGTCTCCATTGACAGTAACGCTGTCACCAACTTCGTATCGAAAGAAGTACGGACCGATGGTTCCACCGGAGAAAAAACCACACCAAATTGTCAATTTAGGTGAAAATACAGATCTTCAGATATTAAAAATGGCCGAAATGATACTTAGAAATCAAATGATCCCTTTTGGAATACCCGGTATAATTAAAGAGTCTGAAGAGGTGAGCTGATTTAGCCATGTTCGTATATAAGTACACAAGCTAGTCCCTCAGTTTGTGAGATATCGCTCTGTTCTTGTTTGTAGACTTTTTTATTTGCTATTTGATTATTTCTTGGTTTAGATAATTTTTCTAATACCGTTACATTTGTTATACCAGTTTTGAAAAAATTTCTTTTGTTTGAAAATTTGCTCAGTATCGGAGGATTGTGTCCAAAATTTTTTCTGTCCAGCATTCTTTTGAACTTTTGCGATCTAAAGCGGATTGTCTAACAGTTAATTAGTTTATAAACCATTTTTAAAGGACTGGTGTAATTACCAAACAAATAGATTCACATGTAGCACTCTCTCAAAGAAATTATACAAATTTTACAATTTTACAGCCTACTATATACTTTGAATAAGCAAACATAAAACGCATACATATACTCCAGTACCAAAATAGGGGGTTTATATGGTATACATACATCGATTTTCAGTTTACCTTGCTAAACATAATGCGTTAGGGTTCAATTATGAACAGTCAATTAAATGAACGTTTCAAGCGCACAAGCATAGACAATGGTCGAAACGAATCAAACGGAAGTAAATAAACGGAAATCAGTATGAAATTATTTTATTGAAGTAATCAATTTTATATTTTTCCAACAAATGACAATATGCATCTAACGAGCAACAGAATAAACGGCTAAAGCACTCAAAAACGCCAACTAATGCCAACAAGCTTTATTTGTGTCTAAGACCGTTTAGACCTTGGGCGACTAATGCTCAGCGCAATTGAAGAACAACGCGTTAGTTGGACAAAATTCAATAATTTTTAACAATTTACTTGGTACATGGTATTGTACTTTGCCTGTATACATACACACATACATATATATGCGGGAGTATACTTACGTGTGTGTATGTGTAAGCATGTCTGTTGGTAACACCCTAATATGAGCCAGCAATTTTTCAAGCTCCATCAAGTAATCACACGGCTGTTACTGTAATCGTATTACCTTTGTGTAAGCGCTAAGTGGTTAGCCCTTCAATACAAGCATACACAAAGTGTAAACAAAAAAATTTGAATTATTGCAATTTGTAGGCGAATTAATTCTGAGAGATTAAAACAAATTATCAATATGAAGAAACTTACGCATAAATGTAATGCGTAATTCGTCTACCCAATCGGGCATATATAATATATACATAAGTACTCATGTGTGTTGGCATTAAATATGGCTTATTTCGACCAACTAACTAGTTTCAAACTAGTCCATATGAGAACTTAATGGTGCAGTCTATTTTGGCGCTTAATTTTCATGCCTATGATTGATGATGACTTTTGCAGATTTGCCAGTTTCACTTAATTGAATATGCTGCATTAAGATTTATACCAGTTTTCTCTTTAAGATTTAGTATAATAACCATATAAATATCTCTAATAGTAGTTCTCTAAATATTGCCTATCTAAAGCTGTAACATGTTCTACATTTTCTGGCAATTTGTGGCTTTTATTCCAAAAGAACTACGCCAGCATGGTGGTGAAGAATGAATCAAGCACTAATCTGAAGTAAATAAATACCTGTCAACGGCTGGAAGAATAATGGATTCTCTTTTGATTCTATCTTATCTTGATGTCATGGATATTGACTTTGCGTGTATTTGACTGGTTGGACAGGTTTCACATATCATGTTTTGTGTTTATCGTTACGGATAAAGGTCGACTTTGCAGGAGCTCGAAATATG